ATTTCAAATATTTAGTCTGTCTTATTCTGGCTTTATTATATTTTCTTTTGCCAAAATACTAATCCTTAGTTGTTGCAGTGAAAATGTGCATGCGTTACTTTCCCTACAGGAAGAATACGTTACATACATTCTCGTTATAGAGGAACTCACTTTACAGATGGAATACATAAGAATTAAGTATTATATAAGGCTCTGCCTTTAAAACAGGAACATATTTGCATTACTATATATATATATATATATATATATACACATATATACACATATGGAAATAAAGTGAACTAATGTTTCTTTAAGTCAGAACAGTTTAAATGTTCACAACAGGTTAATTTCCCATAATATATTCTTAATTGTCATATACTGTCAAAAAACAGTAGCAAATGCACAATCATGTCAGTGGATACAAGCTGTATATCCTTGAGACGCCACCAAACATAACCCTGCATGATACACAAGCCAAGGCTGGATATAAAGAGAGACACCATTACGATTTATATCTAAATGGCCCCCAGAGTCTCACGTATTTGGAAGGTGACTGAACCATGCGGGTGCTATCCTCATCAGGTGAGTTCATAGCTGACTGCTGTTAGGAGGCAGAAACCAGTCAGAAGCGGGGGGCATCTCGGTTGCTACCAGGAAGGGCGCACTTTTGTATCTGGCTCCTCCCTTCTCTCTGCTTACTGGATGCCCTGGGTTGGGCAGCTGTCCTCAGCCGTGCCCTTCTAGCACTTGTCTGCCTTGAAGCCAGCCAACCATGGACTGAATCTATTGGAAACTATAAGCCAAACAAACTTTTCCTGTTTTAAATTGCGGGTGTTGGACACTTCGTCTCGGTGACAGTAAAATAACAAATATAGACAGCAACAAAAGTGGGCCTTAGCAACACATTTGAAAAGATCAAGCAAGACTGGCTTTTGCACTCCTGAGTCAGCCATTAGCTTCTGTTTTGTTTTTTTTGTTTTTTTGGTTTTTTTGTTGAGTCAGAGTCTCACTACGTAGTTGAGACTGACCTGGAACTGACTATGTAGCCCACCCAGGCTGGTCTGGAACTCACAGCGATCCTCCTGCCTCAGCCTCCTGAGTACTGGGATTACAGGTGTGCACCACCACAACCGGCATAGCTTCTGGGGAGATGGTGAGAAATACATTTAAAGGCATCACCTGGGAGGGCACTCCCACTAGACAAGAACAAGTTTCCCGAGATCAAGAGGCAGGTCTTTAATTGGGATATTGTGGCCTTCAGGAGATGGTTATACCATCTATAAAAGAGATTTGGTTAGAGCATCAGTGTCACATACAAGCCGGTACTAAACCCTTGCAGGAACCAAAATCTAGAAGTGTGGATCATAAGGAAAAACCAGCAAAGATATAGGGAATGAGAAGAGAGCTTCATACCCTAGACGTTATGTTAAAGAAGTATCTTGAGAACAGTGACTAAAAAACACCAATCTAGGAATAAATCTTATTACCGATTGGAAACTATAAATTATTAATGAATAAAATTGAAGAAGATCTAAATAAATGAAGGGATTTACCATGCTCAGTTTGGAAACTTAATTAAGTGTGGTGTGAAATGTATATGGAAACGCAAAAGATGAAAAACAGCCAGGGACCTTTAACAAATTTATACAATTAAATAGCAAGATATACATTATTCTAAACCTACATTAATTAAAAGAGCGTATGGTCCACAAACTGATAAATAGGCTGTAGAATACAGAAACAGTCTTCCCCTTACAGGTATTTGACTTATGATAAAGGCATCAATGAATTGCTGTAGTCTTTTTAATGAACGATGCTGTGTTAAGTGGATATGCAAATAGGACAAATTTAATTATGATTCCTACCTCATACTACATACCAAAAAGTGACTTCTAGGCAATTTTTGCATCTAAATATGAAAAGTATGAATCTTTTGAAAGAAAATCTTAATAGGATCCCAAAAGTCCTAACATAAAGGAAAAAAATTAGTAAGTTGGGTCATGTTTAACTCAAGAATTTCTGTCCATCAAGTGCTGCATTAAAGCAACAAAAGGGCAGCCAAGACCTACACTGCAGCTCTTCTGCTCACAGCTGAGCCCCACCAGGTAGGCACAGTCCCTGTTGGTCAGAGAAGAGTCCCCTGCTTCAAATGTCCTCTCCATGGTGATAACCTCGCCAGCCTGCCTGGGCCACACTGAGTGATGAGGAATTGTCCGGAGCCACATACGAAACATAGCAGAGAGAGCTGGGCAGAGGGGCGCATGTCTGTAATCGCGGCAGAGAGAAGCTGATACAAAACAATTTCAAGTTCAAGTCCTTAAAAACAGAATCAAATAAAAAGGTCTGGGAATGTAGCTCTGCAGCAAAGCACTGCTAAGTTTGAGCCCTACTACCTGAGGGAGAAAACATAATACATTTTAAAATGTAACAGAACTTCCTTTATTCTTTAATATTTGTTATTATTTTTTTAAAGCATGTAAGTGGACTGCAGGCCAAACTTGGACACACCCGAGTCTACACCTTACATTATGCTATGGGAATCTTCACTCATGTACTCCTACTTTCTTGCCACTGTGAGGACCTTTTTCCTTGGGAATATATGCATACATACAAACTTTTGCATCTGACACCAAAGGATTCTCAGATTCACCTTAAGTTTATTAAAGAACTCTGAGATAAAAATAATAGCCTAAAGAATCAAAGATGTGGTGTTGTTTTATTTATTTCCATGGAGTGGGTGACATTAGCAAGATGTTTGAATTGTTTCATCTAAAAAAGTATTAAAAGTTTCATTGTACAATGTTGAAAGATAAAACAATTATTGATAGATGATCCTATTTTTACCACTGCGTAAAACTTAAAGGGTTATTTGCCATGATGCCAAGTATCGCTGTATAGATTATTTTTTACTGGCAAAAGGAAAAATAAACTTTTACCATAGAAAGAACTGCCACAAGCTAAATAAAAGACCAAACATCAATAATGAAACAAACCTGATGTTAAACATCTCCTAATATGATACAGTATGAATTTCACAATATAATTTATGAAGTATTCTTGCAAATACATTTAATCTGAAGTATACATGCCTCTATAACTTGCAATGTAGAGATAATACAAAATCTAGGGGCAGAGTTCAGATTAAGAGCATTCTTCAGGATAACTAGAAAGCTCTCTTAAAGGAAAAAATTCTGCAATGTGGTAGGAAAATGGATTAGATGAAAAGTTTTAAATTAAAAGAGACCAAAGAGAGCTGAGGATTTAGCTCAGTGGTTCCGCTACCTGCCTCGCAAGTGCAAGGTCCAGAGTTCAATCCCCAGTGCCAAAAAAAGAGAGAGAGAGAGACCAAAGAAAGTTAAAGCCTAACTTTAATGGACAATGATTCCTAGGGTGATATTTCAAAAACAAACTTCATACAAAAGGCATTTTGTCAACATTTGGAGAAATCGGAATATTGACTGGGTATTGAATGACAGTAGAGAACTATGTCAAAGTGTGAAAGGTACAAATAGGACAATGTCCTATGGGAGGTACTTGGATATAGTTGAAGAATGTAGCGATGGAGCGTCTTGTGTACAATTTTCAATCCCAGTGAAACAAAACAAAAACTACACACATACATGTATACACATAAAACAAAATAAAGCAAATAGGACAGTATTTGACTGCATGTGATGGTATGTTTGACTTATTATCTTTTCTGAGTTTAAAATACTCAGAATAAGAAGTTGGAAAAAATAATTGTGCTTCCCATCCATCTCTAAGAGTTTATTTTGTGTTTATTTATCTCTGTAAAGATTTATTGTGACCCTAGGACAAAACAGTTCTCCATTTTCCAAATTTCCCTGAATTTTGAATTTAGCACTTAGCATTCTGCTCTGTACCCAGCTTGGGGAGCACATTGTAAATTCCTAGGAGACAAAGTGAGGGAGTAGAACCATAGGATATAGAAATTAAACAGCCAAATTAAAATGAGTTGGGGGGGCTTTATCAGACACAAAGAGATGTTAGGATAAAACAAAATGATTTAAGGGTGAAATGACAAAAGGGTCAGCTAGAATGGCAGCAATGAAAGTGAACAGTTCTGGGAAAATGGGTGAAATGTTCATTTTACAATCTTGGCTTTCCCTTGGGCTTCTATTAGTTTTCACAATTAGTATGAAACCCAACCTGTAAGTCCCCAAACCTGGGCAGCTCTAGGATGCACCAGCTGTGTAGCACTCCAACTACCATCTCAGATCCTGGGTGACTTTAAAGTAGAATTCTTCAGAAACATTTGCTCCCAGCATTCATTGAGTGAGCCAGGAGCTTTGTACAGGTTCACCTTTCGCCCCGATTTTCAATTACAAGCTGGACATCCACACGTATGGGTAACAAATCGTCTTGGAAGTATTCACGAAAGTCAAATTTCTCTCAGCAACTAAACTGCATTTGTTTATATTTTTCTGATGCAGACATCCCTTTGATTTTAGGCCAGTTTTAGCAGTAAAATGTACTAGGAATCCTCAGAGTACATTTCTAAATGAAATAAATTTCTAATGAAATAAAGTCACACATGTATAAATACCGAATAGTTCCTCTGGTGTGGAAAACTATAATTGTACATAAGATTCTAATGATATAATTGACAATGTGAAATAGGAAGAAAAAGGGATAAAGGTGTAGGGGAAATGGGAAGGGTAGGGGAAAGGTAATAAGGGAAAAAATGAGAACCAAGACCTGTCATGTAAAGGTACAAGATCCCAGTGATGAATGTAACTGTACTGTATACCTAAAATGTACCAATAAACTCAATGAGAGAGAAAAAAGAAAGTATAGTGTGACAGCTCTCAGGGTAAAGGTCACGGTGGACAGGGGGCGGGGGGGACAGACAGTCCCTCGGGGCGCCCGGGCCCTCGCCTGGAGTCCAGGACGCAGGTCAGCAGGCACTTCCAGGGCTCGACCCCGCTTGCCAGCGCGACGCCCGGGTGCCAAGGTTGACGCCAGCGCAGATGGATCTCACCGAGCATGCGTCTGGATTAGCCGCGCAAGCTCCGCCCACCGCGGGTGGGGCCCGTGGGGCCCAGCGCGAGGTGTCTTCTCTGGAGTCCGAGGCTTGGAGTCTATAGGGCGAGAGCGGGAGTCAACATGGCAGCGATGCTTAGGAGAAGCCGTGGGGTGAGAGGAGCCCGGGCGGCGGCGGGGCGGGGGCGCGGATGTGGTGGGATCGGAGGGCGAGCTGTGCG